TTGTGGTATACCCAATAATATCCTGACGTCGATATAAATTTCGCTGATTACGGACAACCTTTCAGGAAATCGTTCCTTTATTGCCGAAGTAATATAAAATTGTTATTATAGTCCCAAACAAGATAACAACTGCATCAACGGTATAATCCATCATATTTTATCTCGGCTTCTGTTAATTTCGATTAAGTCGAAGCCGGTGAATGTACGATTGCCTCTTAAATATACACCTCGTGGTAAAAGTTTTGTTTGCGCTTGTGGGAGTTTTGACGAGTTGCGACAGTAAATTACCTTTGTCGAGCTTTAAGCGGAGAACTTTTTCTTTGCCGGAAACTTTCATTTGTCGCTTTGCCAAGTCTGTGCTGTACAGTGGGGTGTTTATTTTGGCGCGTCTAGACGTTTTGTGGAGGTTTTGAACGATTTGTTGCTAAAGTAACGTATTTGGTTATCAAAGACAGTTCATATTGTATAGAATGTGAGCAGGTGGATCAAATAAGACAGTACTTTAGAGTAGCTAAAACACCACATATCATACAATAGTTCAATGTACAAAAAATAATTTTGAACCAACCCGTAACGATGAATACAGGATACCGCTATCAAAAAATTAAAGACACTTTATTACAGCAACTTAGTTTATCCCGAAAAATGGTTAAATATACAAAAACGCATCTCAGAAAAATTCATAACTATCATAACACTCACTTGATTAATATCGAAAAATTATTCTACTGAAAATTATTAATTGGTACACACGAAACTCAATTAACTAATGAAGTTCGCAGGATATAACAACTTTCTGGTCAAAACTTTGGTGTCGAGAATTTGAATTTAATCAATTTTCCCAGTGGATTTCTCACGTATCCGGGAAACTCTAAAATTACACCAACGAATGATAACACTTGACGAATGCCAAACCAAACAAGATCCATAATTATTTCTGGATCAAGAAGTTCACCTGTGTACACTTTCATTTGCTAAAACATTTGAACCATTTCTTCGTAAATCTATCCACATTTCTAAAATTTAAAATATATCCCTTCAAATAACTTTGAAGTGATCAAACCATTAAAGTAGATCCAATAATTTTTCGAAGACGTATCTTTCAAGGAGATTCCCTTAGGCCACTATTGTTATGCTTGGCAATAAATTCTCCCTCAGCCAATCTTCACAGCTACAAATAAGATTTTAATATTAACGTTTAGAGTTCTGTAATATAGAGGAAGATGATTATATAAACTGACATTTAAAGAGAGTTAATCGGAAACGTTTGGATCTATTCAGGTTATAATTGCTGAAGTTGACTGAGAAAGGTTGAGTTTATTAATTACGTTGACAGTTTCAATTGACACTAAAGTCGTAAACAATTTTCACTTAGTTTTATTTAAAAACCACATGATGGGAACATACTTAAGTAGATACTATCGTTTGTTCCTTTATATATTTAATTAATTATTGTCTTAGAAAGTAAAGTACTGACATAGATGTTTTTACTTAAAAGTCATAGTGCTGAACATGTACATGTACTTTTTTCAGTTTAGCAAAACTCGCTCGCAAGGAACTTATAAAAACCCAGCCCTGCAGTGAGAATGCACTTATCCAAAATCTTCACAATCTTCGGCCCCTTTTAATTAATTTAAGCTTCCAACGGATCATTACCTCGGTAGCAAACTACCTAAGCCGTTAGTTTCGACTTTATAACGCCCGAAGCTCCCGAAAACCCACTGCACAAAACCATCCACGATATCTGCTGGCAGGCTACCACGTTTAAGAAAAGTTTTAATTACAGTTTCCTTTTTGCACACTACATAAATTAAACGAATTTTCTCATGAAGCTTCCCCGACCCGGAAAATTGTGGAACTTTTAACGAAATTTCACATTCAGACTGTGGATGTCGGCCAAGTTCGTCTCAGCTTTTTGCGTTTTTTATCGCGTTTCTACCCACATCAGTCGAAATTTCCCTACGTATAGTTTTCAGCAATAAAAGTTTTTCTGAAAAAAACTCCAGTGCGTGATGGAAGGCAAACAAACTGTCTCGACGAAACGCCTTTCTATTAAAATTTACTTGTTTTAAATCCGATTAGTTTTATCCGTCTGGGTCACGATTTATCTGCTGGTAGTTAATGAATTGGAGATCAGTAGTTTAGGCCGAGCATCTAGACGAGAAAGGGCTTAAAAATTGCGATAAAATATGAATTCCTTTGACAGTTGGGCATGCGGGCAGAGGGTGGGTGAGAATTTTTTTGGTGATGACGCAACGACTAGACAGTAAAACGCCGGTAAAAGTTCGTCGATAATTGGGTAGCAGTTTCGTTACATACTAAAAATAACCAAATTATTGCCATTTTCGTGTTACGTGTTTGTGGATCATTTGTTAGTTTAAGAAAATTTAATAAGAAGTGCGTGCAGTGTATTTATAAAATTTTATTCTATTACGCTGAAAGGAATAATGTTATTTATTTATGTTTGGAATTTATTAATCCGTGAATATGGAACCAAGAAGTTTAGAATAAAAATATGTGTATTCCAAAATATGTATCAGTTTTTGTTTTCTACTGGTATCTAAAAATAGTAATTTAAATGATAAAGGAAACGCACATTTTATTTTCCTTGGAGGACTTGAATTTTTAAACAAAAAACTACACTCATCGCTTGGTTTCTATCGCCCTTGTTCGTAAGGAGGCTTTGTGTATAATTAAATTACTTTCGTATTTTCCACAGTGAAGAACTAGAAGACACTACACGGTATATTCGTTAATTTTACTTACACCAAAAACTTGATGATCTTTATTCTTACTTACCAATAGGACATTTCTTCATGTAGATACGTCGCGTTTGAAATTTCTATAAATAAAGAAAAATACTCCACAGCATTCAGAAAGTGTAGAGCAGCATGTTTATAGGCTGAGAAAATGACAAATACATAGTTTTCATTTGTTGTATAATATATGTATAATATGTAATATCGCATCAACTATAAAATTTTGGATAAAGGGAGGCTACGATTAGGCTTGTTTTACTTTTTTTCAATAAATATTAGCTTTCTGCGTATGATGTCCTATATGCGTTAATCGCTACCTTCCTTGATTGTATTGTATATAACGATCGTGTAACAATAATAATAATAATAATAATTTTTTTTCACTAGTAGCCATGAAGCATGGAACTGTCGACTTGTTTGAAGTAGTAAATTTCAACTTTTGCTATCAAGGTTAAAAAAGAAGATTGAGGTTATGTATGAAATACTTGATGTTATTATTTCTTAAAAAATGAATAAATGTGTGCTACTAACATTTTACTTGAATATACGTATGGTAGTTGGTAGACGGTAAAAGATAAAATGATTAATTCAGCGACAAGTGTAAACGGTTTTCTTTGTGTATTGTGTTGAAGATTTAGGTTAAATTTGATTAGAAATTAAAACAAAATCATTTGGCGTAAAAAACTTGAAGATTTATTTTTTTTCAATTTATTGTCTAATTTACGGTTTCTACTAGTGAAAAAAATAGTGTATAGACTACGGTTGTGACGCCACTTCTAGACCTCGCGCTTTAAAGCCCTCGATCGACGATGCGCGTCTCGGGTTCTAATTTGCGATCGGTCTAGAATGCTTCGCTTCAAACCTTGATTAATAATATACTATTTTATCCTTGCGTTAATAAGTGTCCAACGTTGTGTAATTTGCATAACTGAAGAAGAAAAAATGAAATCTGGTGTTCGACAAAATGTGTATTATATTATATAATATAATAATTAATAATAATATACTATTTTTAAGAGTTTGTAGATTAAAGTCCTACGAACGTTCAAGTAAATGTAAAGATAATTTGTAGCAATGTGGTGAATTTGAAACTTTATATTCGAATTTTCAGCTCCACTCTACCTCACATTATTTTCGGAACGCCTGCCTTAAATTTACTTGTTAAATTATTTCATTCCTATAAATTTGAATTTGACCTGTAGTAATCAGGAAGTCGATTCAAATTGGCTAAATTATTTCTTAAATTTCTACGTTTCTTAAGAATTGTGTATTGAGACGTTCGGTCGTGATTTAATAAAGTAATATTTTTCAATAGCTGCTGTAATTACCGTTTTTTAATAAAATAATAAATGGCAAATATAGCCTTTAATACAAAAAATTCTAAGTAAAATATTATTCTAATTATAATTTTCAGTGTGATGCCTGCAACCAAATAAAATAAACTTATACTCTTAAAGTTGCTAAATTCAAAGCTTAAAAAAATTCACAAAACATCATTTTACAAGAGAGTAGGTGAACTTTTTTATTTGAAGCTAATTGTCATAAGTATTTTAATTCTCGTTACGTCAATATAGCGATTTTAATGATCTTAAAATGGCACGAACTTTGCGGGTGACATTATAACATTCGACCAATTCGTGATGTGCCTTGAGACAAGGCTTAAGCTATTACACTAGACATTTGAAATTCTATATCGCCAACACTTTGCTATAAATTTCTTAAAATGTTTTGTGAGAAACTTTTACTTTTTTCACAAAAATGAATTCTATTCATTGCATGCCTGAAAAATATTACGAACAAAACTCTCGTTATCAACAGTTACAAATATCAGTCAGTAAATACTGTGGCACGACGATAACAACTCTATCCAGAATTAAAAAATCGTTGGCATTTTTTATCTAAACACTTCCAGACCCATGCGCCTATTTATAAAACGAAGTGTTTCCAATCAATTCATTAAATATTTTCGATGAAATTCGCACTGATTAATATTTGTTTTAACTCTATGAAAACACGATATCATATACGAAAAAATACACAATTCGTCTTTATCTGGCTCACTTCCCTGTTACCGCTCCTTCGAAAATTAAAACGCTATTTATTATTTTACGCCCGGTTAACTTCGACCTCTGCTGATAAATCTTCCTTACAAATTCGCCCCCAAAATTTACATAAAGCAAATTTATCGCTTGAACTTTGGGATTTTTAATGTTTTCACCACAAATTTTCTTTTCTTTTCAGAGGGAAGTAATCCAAGCTAAGTCACATGTACAAGCTGAGCCCACCCGACATGGCTTCAGAAAATGCTACACGTGTTTTTGAAAGCAGAGTCGATAACAGCACCAGTAGCAGAGATGAAAATTTGGCAAGAGTGGAAGTGGCAACATTGGCGATCATTTTTCTTGTTACTGTGATTGGGAATAGCACGGTGCTGCTGGCCCTGTGGACCAGAAGAAGGTATTTTTAAGGGTTTAAAATAATCACGAACAGAAAAAAAAACTTCGTTGAATTAAAGTTTTAATGTATTCAATATCAGGGGAGTCGTGATTTTCGTGTGATTATTACCCACAACTTCGTTTCAGTAACTGAATTTTACACTCCAAAAGATCCACTTAGTCCTTTATTCTATAATAGAGCTGTGGGCATAGATTTACGAAGCACTAATCTGCAATAACTAACTTAGACATCTGCTTCAATTTGATACAGACAATCGAGGTGAAATAAGTTTCCTTTATACGGATTTCTTGAAAGCATTTTATCAAATTGACAATTTTATTTTTCTTGAAAACTCGACACATCTGGATTTAAGTTTTTTTTTTACATTATTTTATTCAAACTGAAATTCAAAGATAAATGTGATTTAAAACTTGTTTGATTTTACCTGAAGCAACAGCTTACTTTTATCGTCAAAAGCTTGTTTTCAGGAACTTCAGGCAGACACTTACCGAATTGATCTTTGCAGCAACACTCTCACGTTTTTGTTCCGTTTCACTTTACTTAGTTAAATGAAGTCCCAGTTGTAAATATTTTCTAATATTGACTACAACGTTTAGAAATCTATGTGACAAAACATTAAAAATACACCTTTAATATCAATCTAGTGAAAGATACAAACACCGAATGTAATAAAACCCCAGTAAATATTTTCTAAGATTTACAAGACATGTGTTAATATTATATTATGGATGATAAGTACTATAAGAAATGATTCAATTTTGTGTGTGGAAAATTAGACTAAAGATGTTGTGTATCAAGAACAAATTATTAACAGTTTCATCCATTGTGTTTACACACTAATTAGCTCTGAAATTCGATTATTAGTTAATGAAATTTTTCTTGAAATTGTAAGTCTTGTAGTTACAGTACGCTCTCAATTTTGACACATTAAAGTTTTAATCAATCACGTGAAGATTATTTCCGATTATACTAGAATCGCAGAACAGATGTAATATTAAGAGCTCGTAATCAGTATGTGGACAACGAACCTTGCTTTACCATTTAGTTAAGCAACATGTGTCTTAAAACTTCAATACATTCAATAGAATCAAATGCCTAGCAAGTACTCGTAATTTTAACGTTAGCTTCAATCTACTCACCAATAACGCATTTGCAGAATACCCGGTTATAATGTAAATTTGTCAGAGTTAACAAAAAATTGCATCAAACTATCTAGTACATATTAATTGCTTTGATAAATTTAACGTCATTTTTACTAAATGAATATTACATTTATGAGTTATCTTGCTATTTTTAATTTTGATTTATTATGGCAATTATGAGCATAATTCATTTAATTTTATCATGGTTTCCAAAAATGACACACTATTTATTGACATATAGTGAATGTAAAAAAAAATGTGGATCGTAAATCATTCAGTATTTGTAGAATATATAAGCTTCTAAAAACCGGACTTTAATTTATTGCTCTTTGAAACAAAGTGGCTGATAAACCGTTTTTTTTTTTAGGGACTCCGGCAATACAAATCTCATATTAAAATAAACAGTGCGCCAAAAAACGAATTTATTTTTTCACGCTATCATCAATTAGACGCACAGAAAAAACATATAGCATCCTTTTGATAGCTAATTATTCCAGACAATCTACTCATTGCCAGATCCAATATAACTAAAACGTTAAATTAATCACCGGCCCAAGTTAAGATAAATTATTTCAAATCAGCCTGTCACGACAGGACTAATTGAAGCGTTTCATTCAAGACTCTAATAAGCTTAGTGCATACCTTCAAACTTTAAAATTTAATTCCCATTCATTAACATTCCCTTTACTTCCTCAATACACTCATTTTCCCTTTCACACACCCACACAACTCTGATTAGAACGAATCGTATCGATAATTCAACTTTCAGCTTCGAACTCAATTAATTATTGCAGATACGCCGGCCGAAAGAAATTATCTCGAATGTACTTCTTTATCCTGCATCTGAGCATCGCCGATCTGATAACGGCATTTCTGAGCGTCCTTCCCCAGCTGGCGTGGGATATCACCTACAGATTCTACGGCGGCTTCTTCCTGTGCAAGCTCGTTAAGTATGGGCAGACATTGGGGCCATATTTAAGCTCGTACGTCCTCATGGCGACGGCGATTGACCGTCACCAGGCCATCTGCTACCCCCTGACGTACTGCTCGTGGACTTCCAGGAGGTCTAAAGTCATGGTGTACTTCGCGTGGATCGCCAGCCTAGCCTTCTGTATTCCGCAGGTATGTTATTTGACTTTTCTTAAACGTTGTGCTTTTTAAAATAAATTTCAATGCCACCTAAGTGTCATAAAAACCCCTTAAAGACCCTTGTACCCGTGGAATATTAAACTGCAGGAGACTTTTTTATGAACTTCGTAAAAGTTCAATTCACATAATAAAATATTTCCTCATTTCATAAAAATACGAATATTAATTCCATTCCTTATTATTAGGACCCACCACTGACCCGAAAATGACCGGCATTCAGACAAGACTTCTATCATGACGGGTACTAAAAGCAAGTAATTAAATGCATTGATTAGATTAATAAAAAACTTTTGAGATCTTAGAACTTGAGCATACATATTCGTCTGCTATTTTTCCCTAATCTCATACCATACTCAAGAGCCTAGCGTAACTACCGATCATTTATCCACGCATCCCATGAAAAGTGATCTACACTACTTACTCTCACCTGCTGGTGCTAACCTATTCTGACTGACATGATGAGACTGTTCGATAAACTTCCGAACAATGTGGCATGTTTCAAAAAAACAGCTTTTAACATTTTCACAATTATTGCTTCATTTAAGTGTAAATATTTCAAATTCTCAACTAAACTATTTGGTACTACACCTACATTGGAGATAACATTGAATAGCAAACAAGAACCCTTCTGTTTGAGCGTATAAACTTGATTTCTTGAGCCAAATCAATGACACTTTCTTGTTGATGTGAGTTTCGTCTAGCTCTTTGAAGAATTTTCCATGCAGTTGCTTTTGTTCCAGCTCACTTATTATGTTGTCTAGATTGTGGGGTCTGGGGATTTCTTCGGTATTGGATAGATTTAAGGATGTGTGGTTTAATTCTGTCCTATGGCGAGAAACAGTTCATTTCTTTCTGCGCATCTGGAATATTTCTTCAATTCCGAAAGTTGTCTCTTGTATAAATGTTCTATGTTCTGGAATCCTCTTCCTCCGTTCTGTTTTAGTAATGAAAATCTTTCAATTGATGACTTCGGATGATGTCTTCTATATTGTGTGAATGATTTTCGTGTTGAAATGTTGAAACGTTTAAATTTTCCAAATCAGTTTTTGACCATTTAATTATTCCAAAAGAATATATTAGCAGTGGAACACAGAATGAATTTACTGCTTACATTAAATTCTTTCCGTCTGATTGTGTCTTCAATAGTAATTTACACAACTAGTTCGGGATAGCCTGCTTCCCGCATGAACGCTTGTTTGCGGCACGACCGAAGGGAGTGACGCATTTGCGTGAATGCGGGAAGCAGGCTCACGAACGTGTTGTGTACAATATTTTTTGCAACGAATAAACCTTTAAACTGAAGAGATTAACTGTGAGTTATTTATAAACAACGGCATTGACAGCGCCGTCAACACGTCACAATGTTGGCACTACCCGAGTATTTTAAGGTTACCATGGCAACGGAAAGTTAAATGCACGTGTGCGGGAAGTTCGACCTCCTGCACTCTGGTGAATGCGCGAAAGCTATCAAAAAAGTCAGGAGTGCAAAAAATTAATTTTAATCTTGCCAGATATTGTTCTAGTTTTGACATGATCCATATAGGAAGACTGATGAGAGCCTAGATATATGTATGTATCGCTTCTTTCTTGAGCTTAGATTATTTCATTATTCTGGGTTATATTTGGTATTTGTTGTTGAACACCTTTTCTGATTACTTGAGTCTTACATTTCTCAACACCGAAGTTCATCTCAATGTCACCGGAAAACTGTTCTGTTAGATTTATTAGACTTGTCAATTGATTTTTCGTACTTGCATCATCCATATGTAGTAAGTGACTTAACCTCATTTCTGTTTTGGTGTTAATTTTTATATTGAAACCATAATTGCAGCTATTCAAGATGTCGAAAAGAGGATTTATTGCCAAACAGAACCGTAAGTGGGCTAAGGGAATCGTCTTGAAAGATTCCCCTTCTGATATTATTGGATCTGATTGAACTGTTTGATCATTTAAGGTTATTTGGAGGGTGGTTTCCAAAATTACATTGAATATTTGAGAGAAAAGCAGATATTTTAGAATCAATTTTGTATAATTTCAGAATTTTGCATGCCCACGAATGCGGAACTGAAACATAATAATCAATAAAAGCAGTACATATGTTTTAGTTTTCTTTCCTAGCTTGTTTCCAGCAGATGGAATCTATAATTAATTATTTTTGTCATTATGTATTATTATTGAAAGTTGACCAAGAATGACGAAAAAAGTGCTGGCCAATTTGGTATAAAGTATAAAGGTGACATTTTGAACTAGAGGAAAAAAACCTCATTAGTTATAGTATAAAGTGCAGGGACATTTTGATAGTAAAAAGATAAACTTTTACAGCGAGAGGTATTAATATTGTCGAAGTTTGAAGAGGACGTAAATGAATTGGAATAAGATGATTTCCATATACCAGGATAAATTTTAAGTGGCGATAAATTCTCCTTCTCCTCATAACTACTAAGCTTCCAACTACTCCGCAACCTCATTTAAATAAACTCCACATTCTCACCTTCACCATGATTTATTGTTTATTTTGTATATTTATCTCGCACGTCTCTCAAACGCGACGTAGAAATACAAAGGTTTTGAGAAAAGCGAGATAAAAATAATGGCTCTCTGGTGTGTCTTGGACAGAATTGTGTTTCACAAGCAAATACTTTTTTAGTGAAGGTTACAAATCCACTCACCAGCGTTACCGTATCAACTAACCACAAAACCAGAAGCCATAAACAACGTTTATTGTGAACGTAATGCGCCCCTCGTCAAACGTAACATTTTTTTTATGTTAATTGCACGTTAATTCGTGCCATTTAGCTACCATTGAAATGCAATGAACTTCGCTTAAATTTCACAGTACTTGGAGCGTTTGAATTCTGTTAAGTTCTCTCGTTCGAGACGCAAACACGAACCGTCACGTTAAATTTATCTTGGTTTTCTCGTTGCCTGAAGAGTTATTATGTGCGCAATAAAAATTCTTGAAAAAAATTTGTTTAGATTGCGGCTGTTTTTGCAGAAAAACCCTTAACTTTTTTGTAATTTTTGTAAAAAATCTCTGTGTAGGTTGCAGGTTTTTACGTAGGTATTAAATTTCCAGAGCGTCCTTTTACATGGCTTGTAAAATAAAATTTAAATTGATTTTTTATATTTTAAATTTTATATACGGTTAGTTACTTGTTTCGTTTACAAAACATCGTTTTTATGGAACAGTAACAATTTGTAAATACTTACTTAATTTTTTGAAGAATGATTTATGTTTCAGTGGGATTAGGTTATTACGTAAAATGTAGTGGTGAAATATTATTATTATTATTATTATTATTTAATTAAATTGCCCAACGGAGAAAATTCCATTTACAGGGCAAGGTTAGAAGTAATGAATATTAACAAACAAACAAGAAAATTGGTGAAAGAATTCAATGTAACTAACACAGCAAGAAGTGTTCACGAATCCTATTGAAGGAATCTAATCTAAGAATATCTACAGCGTGTTCAATATTTTCGTAATTTGTAATCATTCGATAGATGGGAGAGTTAGATAGAATGTTCGTTTTGAACTTTGATATAAAGAAAATATTATGAAGCCTTTTATTAAATGCTGGAACTGCAAAGTTTATATTATTTAGTAGCTCTGGACTATCGATTAGGTAGTGAATTAATTTAAATAAGAAAATTACAGAAAAATACGATCGCCTGCAAGACAGAAATGGGAGGTTTATACGTTTAAGAAGTAAATCTTCTGGGTAACCTCGAGGTGGATAAACACCGTCCATCAAGAATAATGCAGATTTAGCAAAACGACGTTGCACTTTCTCAATTGATCTTATGTGTATATTATAATTAGGTGACCACACGACACTCGCGTATTCCAACTTTGGACGAACAAACGTCTTGTATAATAAGATGAAAACATTAACATCAGAGAAATGTTTTGCATTTCTTGTGACAAAACCCAAACACTTGAAGGCGGAGGACACAATTGTATTTACGTGTTCACGAAAGTTTAATTCACAGTCAAAGGTCACTCCCAGATCCTTATGTGAGTTACGTCTCTCTAACGCAGTACACTCAACTGTGTAGTTAAATATTATTGGATTTTTTTTCTTTGTAAATGACATCGAATAGCATTTCTTTAAATTTAGCGGTAGATTATTAAGAGTACACCATTCGTTAGTTTTTAGGATATTATTTTGCAGTCTAACACAGTCCTCAATGCTATCAATTTTCAAAAACAATTTAAGGTCGTCTGCAAACAATAAGTAGTTGACATTCAAATCACATACAATATCATTGACAAACAATACAAAAAGCATAGGGCCCAAAACAGATCCCTGAGGGACACCAGAAGACTGTTCAAAATTATGAGATCTATATCCATGACATTGTACATATTGATACCTATCCTTTAAGTAAGATTTAAAGAGATTCGTCAGACCATTTGAAAATCCATACGACTTCATTTTAGATAATAATATTTGGTGATCTATTCGGTCAAACGCCTTCGAAAAATCCGTGTAGACCACGTCCACCTGACCCGACCTGTCAATATTCTCACAAAGATGTTGTGTCAATGAAACTAAATTTGTAACAGTGGAACTACCAGCCATAAATCCGTGTTGGTGGATGGATATCATACTAGCTATGTGATTATATATTCTCTTATGGAGTATTAACTCAAAGACCTTACAGAAATTGTTAATGATAGCAATCGGTCTGTAGTTTTCAACTTCAGATTTATTCCCTTTCTTAAAGATGGGACAAACACGTGACGTCTTCCAGCTGTCAGGAAAAACCGCAGAACTAATTATTTTATTGAAAATTGATGTTAATGGTCCTAGAAAAATGTGCTTACAGTCAGATATTAGAAAAGCAGGAATTAAGTCTGGGCCAGCTACCATGGTAGGTTGTATGTTATTTAGAGCCTGTAATACTTCAGCCTGCGTAATACTGGATAACGATAACACATTCAATGAGTCAAGATTCATATCAGGGTA